TTCTATTCTCTGGCATCCTTTCCACGTGCCCGAGCAATCTCAGGTGGGATTTTTTCACAAATGATACCAGGCTGGTTTGCTATACATTGCACGGAGCTCGTAATTGTTTCTTAACCGCCACGTGTCACTTTCTCTTATTGGTCCAAATATCCACCAACGTATTTTTCTTTCACAGACATTGAGCTTCATTTCATTTTCATTGGTCAAAACACATGATTAACTGCCATATGTAACTATGGGTCTCAGTATGTTTTCATAAATCATGAGTGTTGCTTTTTCGGAAAGAATTTCAAATTCATTAGTTTAAAATCATCTATGATGATCAATAAATCAATAATCAACGGTGATAATTAAATATGGATCAAAAGTGAATACATAAATAATGTAAAATAAAATAGATGGAAATATTATATATGTAATGTATATATACAGGATTTCTCGTGAGTGGAGGGGACTAAAGTGTTAATAACCGACTTCAAGAGCTACAAAAAAATTATATAAACAATGGTCCGATTTTCCGAAGAAAACTAGAAGATTCAAGATTTTTTCAAAACTTTTGTTTTTTCAAGTGTCCGTTTTTTTTTTTAAACAGGAAGCAATAGCTAAAAATATATTTTATTTCAACAATTAAAAATGGCTTCATACTAAGCTAAAAAAAAAAATACCTTCAAATGAAAGTAAAATTTTTCATTAATAAAGCCAATTAGAGAAGTTTTGAACCGATAAACTAAGTTAAGTTCTGATTAAGCAAAAAAAATAAATATTATTCGCTTTTTTTTTATCACAATTCCTTGATTAATATGCTTTATTTCTATATTAAACTAATTGTAAATTGAGATTCACTTCAAGCTCTATAAAAAAAGAGAAGCCCAGTCACCTCAATGTTTTTTGAAAAAATGATTACAATAAATATAAGTTTTAATTTCTTTTTCCTGTGACTTGGGATCTATTTAAAAATTCATAAATGTATTCTATTTACAAAAATAAAACGTTAAAGAAAACTATTTTTTATATTTATCATCTAAAATAGTAATAAAATTGTGTTTTTTACACAGATTTCTTCACTTGATAGGAATTGATGCCTATTAATTGCTTAAATATGGAGATAAGTGACCAAATAAATGTTTCTAATCCTAAAAGTTACGTTTTAATAAAAATAATTCAAGCAATCGGCAGTTTTTTTTAAATTTTATTTTAAATATAAATATTACAATTGGAAATACTTCGTAATAAAGCTCGATTTAAATATTATTTAATATGGACTTAAAACTTTTTTAAAAAGGCAGTTTTTCTAAAAGCGAGGTATCTACAGTATTGTTCGAGTATTATAAAAAAAATAGCGAATATTTTTCGATTAATCAAAAAAACAGAACTTAGCTTAGTTTATCCGCTCAAAAATCCTCTTCAGTTGGTTTTAACAATGACCAAGTCTACTTAAATTTTGTCTAATGTACTGTGAAGAAATTCCTTATTTAAATGGATACTTCCTCGAGGAACTAAGTGTCGACATTAAGGACGTTGCGAGGTTGGCTGAAAATATAGTCCTCCACTCCCTGGGAATCATTCACCACCACGTGCATGGCTAGCCCGAGAGTTTTAATTAATGTATTTGTTTATTTATTTAGTGAATAATTGAAAACAATAGAGATAAATAGAGAGAAGTAAGAGAGAGGGAAACTAAATGTTAAATAAAAAAAAAACATGAACAATGAAAGGAAGGAAAAATAAATAAAATAATAAAAATGATTATATATATATATATATATATATATATATATATATATATATATATTAATAATATTAACTAATACTTCTGTATATTTATATATAAGTTCATATATTCTCCTAAGGATAGAGGAGTATGCTGTGTATATAGCAACCCAATATAATTGGGCAGCAATCCTTTATATTTTATGAAAATAAAGTGTTTCTCTCTTTCTCTCTCTATAAAAAAAAAAAGAGCCTTAAATTTCCTACTTTTCTACGAAAAAAAAACAGGTATATGAACGTTTTTTTAGCTCTCTAGTAGAGTTCTGCGATCAGCTTTTTAATATATTCTGTTAATATTATTCAAAGCCTTTTAATATTAAATATTTCCATCTATTAAATTTCTGTTCATGTTACACTAGTGTGTATTTATTTTTTTAAATTTTCTAGGTTGATTCATAGTAAGCAGTGATTTTAACGCAAAACACCAATTTTGGAAACGATAACTGTGCACACTAAGAGAAAGAAATCTGACAGCTTTCATTAGACACTATATCACATGATACCCCAACATATTGATCAGTTTGGCAACGAAAAATATGCAGAACTACTAGACTGTTTTGTAAATAAAGTAATGCGAACCACACCTCACACCATACATATTAACCTTACCATACATAAATGTTAACCTTACACCTGAAATATCTCTTAGTATATAAAAAACTGATCTCAGTAAAGAGAAGAACCCGTAAGATATGGTAGACTATCGGACTTCCCGCATAGTCGAACATATTTTGAAATATGATGCTTACTTGAACAGCCTACGGATGATGGAAGTTTTTGTAAGCATACCAAGAATATTTTAAAACATCGAAAAGTGTCATCACTCAAGGTAAGAAAAGATGGTTCATGGGCCTTGTCGGATAGGGAAACATCTAACCTCTTTGCTCATCATCTTTCATTTGTATTCGCACCATTTACTGACTTGCCGAATATAAAATATGAGACATTAGTACTTTATACTCTATACATAGCACTAAATTTGATAGCTCATCTTCTTATGTTTATTTCTTCACAAGTCGCTCAACGAATCAGACTCTTACCGCGAAGGAAAACCTCGCTTATAAATAAATAACATCCTAAGCGTCCAGAAAATGACCAGGAAAGCTCATCTGTTCCTCACGACAGAACATAACTGCATCCCAAAGACTAATAAATTCTCATTACAATGGAAATATTCACATTTCAAATGAAAAAAAAAGAGCCAAAGACCCTTTTCAATCCCTCGGCTCACCCGTCTATCAGACTTCTTTCGATATATTCAAAAGTTTTCGGAAAATGAATGCACAAAAGATTGCTTGATATACTGACAGATTAAAAAATAATTCCCGATTATCAGTTGGTTCTTAGTTCTTAACATTCAACAACACACCAATTACAGAGTTACTGACTACATTGTTGGTGCACTAGATGGAATAGTACTCAATTTTCAATGGACTATTATTCAAACTTGTATCTTAACGCAACACGCCGTGTTAGAGAGGTGAAAAGATGCGAAGATTAGCATATAATGAGCTATTATTTATAATTTATATTCCATATTATTAATCTCGTCTTGTTGAAGTTTGTTTTGTCAGAAGACAATATTTCCTAGGTACATTCCTTTAAGAAATAATCTATAATCATCTTCCGTCCTACGCATACAATCTCCTTCGATTCAAGTCATCTATCCACTCTCTCTCCACAAGATCTCGTCCTTCTGACTTTTATACCCCTTTCCACAAATCTTCCTCATTTCAACACTCCTTTATTGTCCGCTCTACCACCTTTTGGAATTTCATCACACTGAAAATCCGCCATGCACCATCATTATCCATATTTAAACCCTCTTATTTCAATTCCTCCTTAAAATTCAATCAGACGCTGGGTAGCCATTTATTATGCAACAGAATTTCATTATTCTATATTTATCATTTGTATATGTATATATTATTTTATGAGTATGAAAAAGATGTTTAGTCAATTTCACTTAGAATTGCTTTTTGTTAGTTTTTTAATTTATAAGATTTTAAGTCATTGAGATATATTTAATTGATTACTAATGTTGAATGCACTCCTCAATATGTATATCATCTTTTATTTTCTTCATTCAATCTACATCTCAGGATATAGATTATATAAGACTTGTATAATGTTTAAAATACTATTATTGTATTCATTTGAACATATTGAGGTACAAATGTAAATCACTTATAGTAAATATTTATCTACTCTTTTTTTCATTGCTACAATAGTTTGACAACAAAAGTAATTTATCGTTCATTTCAAATTTCATGTGGTTATTTCATAGTTTGTTGTTTGTAGCAACTATTTTGCAGTATTGTGACATTATTGCTCATATTCTTTCTTTAATATATCTGTATAGCTACGTAAATACTTCTGTTATTAATTATGTTTTAGTTATCATTTTATTGTAATATGCATTTAGGTCAGATGTTATGTTAATGTTTATGATCAATATTGTTATTCTTAAGGAACTTTGTTCCAGAATAAAGTTGATTATTCTATTCTATGTAAAATAAATAAAAGGTAACTTAAATATGTTTTATATAATAGATAGATTAATATTTTAAAATAATTATCTTGAAGTTTTTTTTTTAGATGTTTTTTATATTTTTTTTTATTTTTTGACAATTTATTAAGAGGATTTGTTGCATTTATTTAAACTACTCAAGAAAATTATTTTGAAATAATCCAGTTAGTCGTTAATTTACTAAATTTAATTCACCAAGTCAATCTTCTGAAAACACAGTTGGTTTCAAGTATTGTATTCTAACATCTTTAACAAGTCAAAGTTATTAGTGGAGGAACTGAAGGTAGTTGAATAGATCAAATAAAATAGAAATAGAAAAATAACTTTTTTTCTGGGACGAATTCCCAATTGAATAACAAATGAAATGATTATTATTTATGATTATTTTCTGGCGAAAAGGCTTGAAACATTAAACTAAAAAAATAAACAGAAACGATTTAGTAGATAAACTATGTACAAAAATAATAAAACTATGTACAAACTTAAAACTCTTAAAAACTATGAAGAAAACACTTTAAATATACACAAGATCCATCGAAAATGATAAAACAGTATATATATTCACTTCTAAGAAGAATATATATATATATATATATATATATATATATATATATATATATATATATATATATATATATATATATAGATATATATATAATTTTTTTTTATTATTTTAATGGAATTTACAACTGTATTACATAGAAAGTACAATAAGTAAATGTGAAAATATATATATAAATTAAATTCTTCTAATAAATATGCACTAAATTTTTACTTAAAAAGGAAAGTGAAATATGTCATTTAAAAAGTGTCTACGTAAGTATATGATCATAACCATATCGTAAAAGGGATAAAAAAAAAGAAATTGAAAAATGAACTTTTGCTAAGTTAAAAAAAAAATACTGCTTGTTGAAACTCAATAGTTTTTTTTTTTTAATTTTTAAATAGTATTTTACGTTATATAAATATAAAACTATTACATATCAAAATAAAAATGATAAAAACAACAAAAAATAATATAAATTAGCAGTACATTAACATACAAGTTTATTAACAATGATACAACCATCTAGTACTACAATTCTATAGGTGTTTTTGTCTCAAACATTTTAGACTTATAGGACCCAATTAAACATTAGAGACACAGTAAGAAAGGGGTCCCCAACCCTTTGCCCGCGGGCACCATAGTTTCCACGTGACTTCACCTGCCAAAGCTTCGATGACTGAGATAAATGATTGCTGCTTGAAAATCCAGGACACGTAGAGCTCATAATCTCCTCACAAGATAAATTAAATAAATGAAAACATTTATTTCAGTTTCATTCTACAATGTTGGACACCAGTATCCTGACATTTCTTTCCAATTCAAATATGATAATACAATCAGTTATATCATTGGCAGCTCTTCATTAACTGTTGCAATCTGAAGATAAAAAAAAAAGTAACATTCATTAGTAATAAATCCAACTTTATTATTGTTTAATGATTTATTGAATGATAATACAATCTGCCTCATGAAGTGCAAAAAGTGTTAGTGCCACAAGAGTTCATTCATACAATATATACAAAAAAATAAATAAAAATGAAACAAATATTAATACAAAAATATATACACAAATAAATAAGAGTAATCTTCTTATACACATTCACACCTACATTTACCATATCTATATTCACCCATATTTCCGAGCCAAGCATTGTCCTCCACATATGGGAAACAAACCAAGACTCAAATGATCCCAGGATTCTCTTTCAGGCGCATCACTGGTATTAGAAGCCACTGAAATAGGGCACTGGGGCCATTAACGCTTAGGACTTGATTGGAGAAGACGGCCATTACCAGGACTCCGAAAGAATATTTGCAAAAGGTCTTGGGGCCACTGCCGCTTTAATCTTCGAGGAGGATTCAAGGGGTGGCCGTAGCTGGATAGGGATTGAGCTAAAGGTTAGGATGATGAATATGATTCTGGTGCGTTTAATAATAAGAGACTGGTTTTCCGTGCAGTAAAAACCCAAAATACTTATAATATAAAACTGGAAGATCATGTGCAAAACATGTAAAAATCATAAGTTTTAATTTACGGCAAACAAAGCATGAGAAATGTTTAATTTAGGCTAGACATTTTAAAATCGGGATGTTTTTATATCATATCGGAAATTTAAATTAATGTAGACTAAAACCATTTTGGTTAGAACAACCGCAATCATTATTGTTAAGTTTTTTACTAATAATTAAAATATATTTTGTAAGTAATAAATTGTAAAAAGGAAATGTATTATATGAGGTTATTTATCTAAGTCATTATAAATATCTATTACCTATATTACTATCAAGGTGACATAACTATACTCGAATCAAACGTGTAATAAGAGAAGCAAAGCAAATCAGCCACAGGTACATACAAATAAACAAAATGGTAGTGAGCTTAAAACAATACCCCAGTATCAATTTTGAGTCTAAAAAATTATTTGGATTTTTCTTGAATCTGATTCTTCACATTTTTTTCTATAACTTTATTTGTTTATATAATTTTACTAATATTAATTATATTAGGCATAAATGTATTTCTTAATATATCATAAATATCATAAACCTATAAATCTATTCGCTTTCTTGACGAAATCTGACAGATGATTACCAAAACCGGAAGTTATAGCATAAATCTAATATAAATATATAAATATGTAAATAAATCATTAAATTAGTAAATATATACTAATATAACTATGTATGTTTTATAAAAGAAATTTAGTTCAAGCATTTTATATTGAAAATGAAAATATGTTTTTTTAATTATTCTGGAAATGTTGCCCCTTTAAAACAAATTATATATATATATATATATATAATATATATATATATATATATATATATATATATATATATATATATACAGAGAACATGACATTAAATTAAATATTTGCAAAATTATATCTGATTAAAATAAAAGTAAAGAAGAAAAACAAAAAAAATACGTACATATATAGTACGTTTCTATAAAATATAGAATAAACTTAATAAAATAAAATAACATAAGTAACAAAATAGTTTCTGGGGAAACTCAAGAAGTTTTCTTTTTTTTTCATAACCACATTTAGTGATCAATAGCGTTTGGAAAGGAGTAGGTGCTTTAAAAGGAGAGATTTAAATGAGGAAACTGATATTTGTGTATCTGGCATCGAAAGGAATAATATTCCAAAAAGAGACGGGTTGAATTACAAAGGATTTGTCAAACGCAGTAGTTCGGTCTGAAGGAGGATAGAGGTTGGAAGTATTGGATCTAGTGGGACGGGATTGAATGGAATATTTAAATTTTAGGCTATGAAAAATATAGGAAGGCCGCTGAGTTCTGATGGTTTGGTATTGAATGAAAGCATGAGCAATTCATTAGGCGCTTAAGTTTGTCCTCGAATTCTCCCGATGATCCGCTTTACACCAGACAGCCATAGTCAAAGTGGGGGAACACAAGAGAGGACACGAGGAGTCGACGAGATTTATTTGAAATAAGATTGCATAGAAGATTAATGTTATACTATTAAAATCAAAATTAAGGCTTTAGCGTGTTAAATATGTAATATAATGCTAAAAAATGGGGAAAAAAATGTAATTAAATCAAAAAAGGTCAAATTATACAATTATGTGCAAAATCAAATTTCTATATATTATTTGGACTTAAATACATAGTTTCTTTATTTTTACGATATTCTTTCATTAATCGTACACCCATTTCAACTATATCCTAATATATTTTACATTCGATTGATATCATTTTCATCATTTCCAATATGTGATTTTACTTGCCGTGAAACGGACACATAAATTTTTTTTTTTTTTACATGATAGCGAATAAAATGTGCAATAAAGTGTAAATTCGGTCTCTAATAATAAAATAATTAAGTAAGTTGTTACTTACACTCCATAAGTATTATAACAGTAAGCGGTACCGATACCACAAATAGAACCTTCAGGACAGCATAAAACATCAGTGCATCGTGTTTGTGCAGAACCCGTTTTGGGTCTCGTAAGCATATCTGTGAATTAATCATTATTACAGTTAATTATTTGTTTTATTTTAAATTTATAGAAAATACCCGAATTCCTGTCTGATAGCCATTACCTAATAATATTCCATTTCGATGGCCAAGAAAATAGGATGAGCTGCAAGTGATGAAGACAAGAAATAGGAAGACCACTTGAAACTGCATCTTGATTGAGACCTCTTCGAGAGAATTATTCGATATAACTGCTTAAGATTATTCAGGTATATATGAAGGTTAGAAAACAATAGAGATTAAAGATGTCTGATACCTGTTATGTGTTAAGAAGTTTATTAATAGCTTGTTTATCCAGGGCATTGGAGTTAAAAATGTGTCTTTCAAAAACAATCAGATAATACTCTTACGTAATTATAATTATTTTGATCGATGCTACTACGTTTAATGTGAAAAGTTTCAATAATATTGAGGTATATAATCGACTATAGGATAAGATTAAGACATGCGATCTATGCAGTATGGCTGATTGCGAATCCAGTGGAACAAAAGTATAGCAGCCATGTTACTGACATGGCTACTATAATTCCTAACAATACAAATCCTTCGACAAAACAATTCCTTCTCATCCATACTAATCTGTTATTGTTTCAAAAAGTCCTTGAAGGATTAATTAATGAAAACCAGTATATTTTTTATATTTAAAAAAAACTTATAATCCAAATATAACATTTTTATCCTAGGACTTCACCTGGACAAACATCTAATTTGGAATCCTCATACCAGACTGAAACGACAAGAAACAGCTCGACGTTTCCGACTACTTCAACACTTACTAGACAAACGCTTTAATCTTCTAATTAATTAAAAAACACTCATTTACATGACTTTAATTCGACCTATTTGGACATACGGAGTTGAGCTATGGGGCTCCACCAAACCTTCAAATTCCTCTCGTATCCAATCCTTACAATCCAAAATCCTTCGTAAAATCCTCAATGCTCCTTACTTTGTTACAAATAAAATCATCCACAATGACCTTAATGTTCCTTATGTATCAGATTTGGCCCAATCCAGATATCTGTCCTTCCATTATAAACTTCATAACCATCCCAACCCTCTTGTTTCTAACCTTGCTTCCTATTCAATTCCTAATAACCCTCTGAGACGTCTGAAAAGAAGATGGCCACGTGATCTCCTAATATAGACATATTATTAGATTGCTACCAGTGGCTAGTTTCTCAACATGTGTTTCATGTCATTATATCTATGTGCGAATTCACTAGATATTTTTTTTATATAGTTGTAAATATCATATAAAAAAATAAAATAAATAAAAAAACATTTTCATAACAAAATATCACTTTGAGCGAGGTCATCTATTTCTTTTTCATTTTTTTGGTATTAAAATTACATATTCGTAAATATTACAAGCAAATGTAGAACACACTACGTTATTCGTGTTAGTGAAATACAGGCCGAATTTCCGATAGGGAGACGACCTGGAGTCCACTATTTAACATAAAAAGAAAGACTAAAGCAAGGAACTGAAAATATTATACTCACTTTTTTCTAAATCAAGATTTAATATCAGACAAAAACTTAATACCTACTAAAACTTAATCTATGGGGACATATGCCTAAGAGATGTTTGGTTTGGCAAAATAACACTAACAAAAATTATCTACATTCTATTCAATCCAATATTTTGAAACTAATAACAACATCTTACGACAACATGGCCATCAAGATACGACTGAAAATGTGCTGCATGAGAGACCTCCTGTTCTGATTAAAGGTAATCAAAAACAAAAACCAGAGAAGAAGAGCTGATCGGCACTATTCCTCTTTATGCCTAAAGTACAATTTTCAAAACATGCCAACATATATGCTTTCTGTCACTTTCATGACAGATGCGGATGGATATTTAAAGAGAAAAAATCTACTGGTTGGCCCATGCGAATAATGTGTATCGTATATAAGTAACTTTATTTTGAGACAATGTCTCATGAGAATAATAAAATAGAACGCAATTAAAATATTGTGCTCTCGACCAATCTCCGCTGGCTTTAGTACCAGTGACGCGGTTGGGAGAGTAGTGCAGGGTTCTCCTGGAGTTCCCTCGCCTGATTGTATATAGGTATGCATGTGTTTTTTTTTTTTTTTCTTAGTTTTAATTTTCTTATTTTTTAGGTTATTTTATTTTATTGTCTATTGTATATACTTTTGATTATTATTTTGTTCTATTTATTTTATTTTTTTGTACATATGGTGTGAATGTCATCCTACCTCACTATAACCAATGTCCAACAGACAGATTGTTATAATACTCAATAAAGAAAAAAAAAAAAAAAAAAATATATTACATCTGGCATAAATAAAAACAATAAAAAAATATAATATAGGTAGGGAAGTAAAAATACCCACAACGAAATTTAAATAAATATAGCGTCTATAATTTTTACTTACACTCCCCCTTTGTCAGAAAATATTTATTTCTGTTAAGAAGGTAGTAAGTGAAAGCCGTGTGACGCGCGCACCAGATGTTTGATATAATAGCTAGATTAATATTTTAAAATAATTGCCTTGTAGTTTTTTAGATATTTTTGCCATATTTCCTTATTTTTAAGTATTTCATTAAGAGTAAAAAAGTTGTATTTATTTAAACTAGTCCAGAAAGTTCTTTTAATTACCAAGTTATTCTTAAATTTACTTTAAAAAAAATCCAAGTCAAACTCCTGAAAACATAGATGGTTTCGAGTATCGTATTCTAACGTCTTTAATAAATCAAAGTTATTAATGAAAGAACTGAAGTGGTTGAATAAAAAAAAAAAAAAATAGAAATAGAAGGGAGAAATACAAGAACATGAATGGCTGCTCAAGAATGTTGAACTGCTAAATAACACAGAATAATCATCAACCGATAGGTAATACTATATAAAAATATAAGAGAGAATTAGGTCGGGCCATTGGAGTTCATATCAGATATGCCAAGAATGGTTCATAAAACCAAATAATAGGATACGTAGATCAATATATAATTGATAAATGGTTGACTGTCGTGAATAATGAAGAGAAGAATAGTTGGGGTGATCAGTCAATTAAGAAGGAAAAAATAAATGATACTATTTGTTTTTACATTAGCCGACGTTTCGACCTGAAGTTCAGGCCATCATCAGGGCTAGGAAAAGAACCAGATAACAAGGTATAAAAAACATAAGTAGTGTAGGTAAAAAAAAAATTAAAGTAAAATTCAGTTGTTGGAATAATGACAATAGTAAAAGCAAAGAGATAAATGATAATAAGCGGTACAAAGTGCGGAATGATGAAGTAAACATAATAAAAAAAGGTGACATAAGTATTAAAATGGGAATCTTAGAATAAAATGTAAAAACAGAAAAATATGAAGTTATATAAGAAATGGAAATAAACAGTGATATTAAGATATTGTGGATAGAATAGTTAGACAGAAAATTGAGATGTTGTAAAGTCTATCAACATGTATAGATAACGTATAATTAATACAGACTGAGAAGGCTGAAATAAGAAAGTGAATACGAAAGAAAAATAAAAGAAAACCCACCTGACTGCGGAGACGTAAATCAATATATGTGATATATTCGTAGATCAATATATGTGGTGATGAAGGATTCCCAACGAGTCTAAAATTATAGTTTCTATGATAGTCTATATCTGTTCCCTCCTGATATAGACTCATAGTCTATATCTTTTCCCTTTCAACACCGATCCTCCGCAAGAAATTACTTGTATTACGAAGGATGGTCAACCTGTATCCGAACCACAGTTCCTTAACTGAGAATTCTCTTTCGCCAAATTCATCTTTGTAGTTTTTCTTCATGTAAATTATAAATTTACTCTTTCTCAATTTGTACCTTAAAGTTCTGATTCTGATAGTTTGTTTCAAACCTGATCGTGGGATCCACAATGAATGCCTCCTTTTCCATCGCACGATGTCAACGAACCTTGTCGGGCCTTCCGTATCCAGCCAATAAACTTCGAGGAAACATTTATAGTTATTCGTTTCAAGGAATTCGGTTATTCAATGCTTTATATTATTGTGCCGGCGGGTGACAAGGATCGTGTTATTCGGACAATCGCCCAAAACTTGAACTGGGGTTTCTTACTTTCGACCATATTTGCAGCAGAGGGGTCCAACATCCTTACTTCAGCCCCCTTGAAAAACGTGGAGAGGGGCATAATTAATGTTTAACTTCATGGCGTTCGTTTATTTTGAGCCAGTGAGAATTTTTCCGTTAGAAATAAATTTATTGGTCTATGGTTAAAATAAAAAAATAAAAAACTTTATTCTGGGATGGATGAACTCTCTATTGATTAACAAAATCGTACAAAAAAAAAATATTATTTTCTGGCTAAAAGGTTGATACATTAAATACAATTTATTAAAAAAAACTACAGAAACCTATTTAGTATACTAACTATATACAAAAATAGTAAAACTATATACAAAACTCTTAAAACTATGAAGAAAACTATATAAAAAATCTATCGAAAATAGCAAAACAGTATATTTATTCACTTTTTTTTTTTTTTTTTATTTAGAAACATAACAATCTGTCACGTGGACAACAATTATTGTGATATATGATATAACACATTCATACCATATATACAGAATATATAAAATTAACAAAAGTAAAATAATAATAAAAAACTATATACAATAAAAATCAAAATAACCTAAAGATAAGTAAATTAAAAACACAGTCATACCTATATACAATTTATACAATCAGGCAGGGAACCCTAAGCCAGGCTTCTCCCTCCAACTATAGAAGGAAAAACTGGACTTCAAGAGATTCCAGCGCTACTCTCTCAACCGCGTCACTGGTGCTAAAGCCAGTGGAGTTTGAGCGAGAGCGCTCTAGCCACATACACTCATGTCATGAGTGGAGAATCTAGCCATTGCCAGAACTCCAACATATATACTACAATAGATCTCTGGGCCACTGCCGCTTCAACCTTCGAGGAGGATTGTAGGGATGAGTTGAACTAGATAGGGATTGTGCTAGGGGATTCGGATGATTTATAAGGTTCTGATGGAATTTGGAAAAATTTTCAGGGATAAGGACGAGGACAAATGGGATATTAAGGTCATGATGTAGGGTTTTGTTGGGTACAAAGAACGGAGCATCGACTATTGTTCGGAGGATTTTGGAGTGAAAGGATTGGATGCGTTTGGTGTTAGAAAATTTAGCTGTCCCCCAAAGTTCAAGTCCGTAGATCCAAATAGGTTTCAAGATTGTCTTGTAGATCAGTAATTTTTGTCAATTGAAAGTTGAGATTTTCTATTCAGTAGTCTATATAATTGGCAGTATCGTCTGTTAAGTTCTTGTCTTTTAAGTCTAGTATGTGGGTTCCACGTTAATCTTCGGTCTAAGAGAAAAACAAGATATCAAGATTTTTTTTTTCCTTTCTTGTTCACTTCTAAGAAGAAAATTTTTTTTTAGTTTTGTAAAAAATAGGCACTAAATGTTTACTATGAGAAGAAAGTTAAATGTGTTATTTAAGTCCCTACATAGTTATATGATTATAATATTACCAAAAAGAGATGAAAAAAGCTTTTGCTAAGGTATTAAAAATATCACTTGCGAAAACTTTTTTTTAATTTTTATATATGATTTTTCGTTATATTAGTATAAAATTATTGCATAACAAAATACAATAGATAAAAACAACAATAAAAAGTGTGATACAACCATGTACTTAGAAAAGTCTTTAGGTGTTTCTGTCTCAAACATTTTAGACTTAGGATATAATTTTAGAGATAAAGTAAGGTTAGGATTCCTAACCCTTTGCCCGCGGGCACCATAGTTTCCACGCGACTTCACCTGCCGAAGCTTCGATGTCTGAGATAAATGATTGCTGCTTGGAAAGTTCGGACACGTAGAGCTCATAATATCTTCTCACAAGACAAATTAAATAAATGAAAACATTTATTTCAATTTCATTCAACAATCCACCAGTTTCCTGACATTTCTTTCCAATTCAAATATGACAATACAATGAATTGTATCAATGACAGCTTATCATTAACTGTTGCAATCTGAAGATCAAAAAAAAATTAATATAATAATAAATAAAACTTTATTACTGTTTAATAAATAGAGACTGGATTTCCGTGCAGTAAAAATCCAATCGGACCTTCCGAATTAATATAGACTAAATCAGTTTTGCTTTGAAGAACCGCTATTATTATTGGTAATTTTTTTACTAAAAAGTAAAATCCATTTTATAAGTAATAAACTAAATCAGTTTTGCTTTGAAGAACCGCTATTATTATTGGTAATTTTTTTACTAAAAAGTAAAATCCATTTTATAAGTAATAAGTTGTAAAAAGGAAAGGTTTCATGTTATTTGCCGAATTCATTATAAATATAAATAACCTATATTACTATCATGGTGACATAAAAAAAAAGAAAAACTGTGATAAGAAAAGCAGAGAAAATCAACCTATATGTGAATAAAGATAAAAGAAAATGCATATTAGTGAGCTGAAAAACAATATCCCAGTATCAATTTCGAGTATGAAAATTAATTCAAATTTCTCTTGAATCTGTAGTTTCTTTTTTTTTTTAAATTTATTTGTTTCTAAAGTGATAAATTTGCCTATAGGTCAAAATAAATTAATCAAAATTAGTCTTTGGTTGCAAATTTATTGAGAGTTTCAAGGAAAACTTCTTCATAACATTATTTCATTTAATTCAACCTAACTTATTATATTCTGCGACTTACCCAACTTCTTGGGATATATATTTCTGAAGAGAGGGGTGACGTTTTCCTCAAATTATCCAATCAATTTGCAATCTAAGACTAATGTTGATTTATTTATTCTGACCAATAGCTAATGGATCACTGTAAAAATAATAAACGTCAAACCTGCAAAATTAATTATTTGTTTCTATAATTTTCCTCCAGTTTTCTATAGGAGTAAATTATATTAGGTAAAATCTCTGCTCGTTTTTACTAATCTGCCAGATAGTTAACACAAGTTAGAGCATGAACCTAGTATAGAAATAAATATATACTTATATTCCTATGTATGTGTTATTTAAGAAATTTAGTTAATGCATTTAATATTACGCTATTCAAATAAAAACGTAAACCTTAACGTGTTAAATATGAAATATTATGCAAACGAAATAAACAAAAAGTAATTAAGCCCAAAAATGCCAAATCGTACAATTTCGCGTAATATCAAATTTCTCATATGATTTGAAGGGACATTGCTTTAATAAATAAATATACTTTATTTATTTTCACTTTGTTCTTTCATCAAGCGAACACTCTAATCATCGTCTTTCCAAATATATTCTACAGTCGGCTATCATTATTTTCATCATTTACAAAATATTTTATACGAAAGCGAAAAAAATGTGCAATAACATAGAAATCCTGTCTCTAATAATAAAATAATATAAGAGTTACTTACATTCCATACTCATTATAACAGTAAGTGGTTCCAAAACCACAAATAAAACCTTCAGGACAGCACAAAACTTCATTGCATCGTGTTTGTACAGAACTCGTTTTGGATTTCGTAAATATGTCTGTGAATTAAACATTATTACAAATAATTATTTGTTTTATTTTAAATATATAGAAAATACTCGAATTTCCATCATCTGTCTGAAAGCCATTACCTAATAATATTCCATTGTGATGGCCAAGAAAATAGGATGAGCTGCAAGTGATGAAGACCAGAAATAGTATGACCATGTGGAATTGCATATTGGTTGAGACCTCTTCGAAAGAAATATTCGATATAACAGCTTAAGATTAGTCTCGTATATATGAAGTCTAGAAAACAATAGAGATTAAATATGTCTGATACCTATTACGCGTTAAGATATTTATTAATAGCTAGTTTATCTAGTTCTATGGAATTAAAAATGTCTCTTAAAACAAAATTGAGATAATATTCTTACATAATTATTAATATGTTGATCCATGGCGCCACGTTAAATGTGGATAGCAATATACGATAATATTGAAGAACTTATCGATTGTAGGGTAACAAGGATAATGCATTAAGACATACAATCGATGCACAGATTGCGAATCTAGTGGGACTAAAGTCTATTAGCTATGTTACTGACAATAAAATATTTCCTTGTCATCCAGACTAATCTGTTATTGTTTTAAAAAAGACTTGAATGATTTATTAATGAAAACCAATATGTTTTATATATTTCAAAAAAAAAATTAAATTAAACATAACATTTTTATAACCAAATATCACTTAAACCGAGATAATCGATTTCTTTTTCATTTTTTTGGTATTAAATTCAGATATTCAAATACAGCATTACAAGAAAATTTATAACACACTTAATGCTTTACATTTTTCATGTAAGCGTCTTACAGGCCGAATTTCGTTCTTTAGAGAGGAATGCATGTTTAATTTTATATTATGTCAGCTCATAATACATTTTTTCGTTGTTTGTAATAAATAATAAGTTAAAATTATTACTTTTTTTGTAATATTACCAATTTTTTCAGTCAAATTGACAAGAATTTGATGTCCTATGTTTGTCATGCATTAAAAATAAAAAATAGATGGATTACAGTAATATTTCAATATTAACTGTATTGTTAAGAATCTATCTCTTATTAATCATCAAGAAAGCTAGGTCTTGGAGTGTCAAATTTTTTTTCAAAACATTGACTAATTGTCTTAAAATTGATTTTTCAAATTTGATACTCAACCAAGTAAATGTTTTCTTCTTAGATTAGTCATTAAAAATATTGTTCATTCACTCCATGTCTGTTATTTTTCTGTAAACAAGAGTTTTCCATTTGCAACACAATTATTACCCCTGCTTTAAAACCTGCAAAAACAGGCGATTAAGTTGCACATATTTGGTAATATAATGTGTTGCTAGGCAAAAAGTAACAGAATTGATGTCGCTCACTGGTGTATGTAAAAAGTTACAGACTGAAACGTCGAGTAGTTTTCTGTTTAGTTAAACGTTGCATGAATTGAAGTAGGTTGAATTTAAATCAGCTTAAATTGAAAAAAAAAAAAAGGTTCATTAAATGCCTGTTTTATTGCGCTACATAGTTAAATAATAAACAAAATTATTGCAACACCCTTATACTGTTAAATGTTGGGTAGATCCATAAGTTCGTTCGGTTTTTGAGGGTGGAATAAAACAATTGTTTTTCACACAAAGAATAAATTTTATTGAATAATGTATTCGCCGTTTTATTAATGATCTCTTGACATCTTTCTAACAATTTTATTATTCCGCTCTTATAAAACATCTGGGGCTTAAAAGCGAAAACCTAATCGAGATAACTTTTCACATCTCTCTCATTAGCGAACGATTTCTCGCTCAGCTAGTTTTGGAGAGACCTAAATAAGTGGTAGTCGGATGGTGCAAGGTTCGGAAAATGTTAGTCCGTGATACAGACCCCTTTTTATCGAATTATTAACATCCGCTTTAAACTACGTAAATAGTTTCATCCCATCGTAAGCTACAACTATTACTTACTTATTTACGAGAACTCTTGGAATTAGGGCGTTTTCAATCTTGAGAGGGGCAAACATAGTTTATTTAATTATGTACTAAAAACTCGAAAATACCCATTTGATTTCTACGCGTGTCGCAAGATAAATTGATCACAAAATCCACAAAAAAGATGGCCTACAATAATATTGGGCTCTTCCTTATAAACTTGTCTTTTTAAAAATTTGGGGGTGTAAGTAACGCCAACCAGCTCAATATTTTTGAAGGCCACCTTTTTTCTCGACTTTGTGCTCAAGTTATCTTACGATCAAAGTAGAAAGCAAATGGGTATTTAAGAGTTTTTAATACTTTATTAATAGACGATGTTTGCTCCTCTCAAGATTGGAAACGCCCCAATTCCAAGAGTTATCGTAAATAAAATAATTCATAGCGAGTGACCAATGAGGTGTGGGTCCTAGGGTTGTCTTGCTGGAACACAAAACTCTTCCGATCATTCATATCATCATCCAAATTCGATATTACTATATCTGTTGGAAAGCTGAATTATTTCTCTTCAAAGCTGTATTTTTTTTTTTAATGTTATACCTAGATAAGGAATAAATAAACAAAAACTCCTCATAGGTTTTTATTTTTTAACTCCATTTGTAGTTTATTTAAAAAGATCCTGTTAATGTCATTTTCTGTAGTTTATATAGCTAAAGTTGTATTGAAGTTTTAGTGATTTTCGAAAAAAAAATCATGTAACGGACCCAAACATTAATCCTGGAAACATAGCCTAGCTTGTGCAAATGGTTTTCTACGCTTGTGTGCAACACATTTAGGGCCATAGCAATTTCTCGCACTCATTGGGTGAGATTTTGATCAACAATGGCCTTAACATTACTCCTTTCAATATCATGTTGGCGACCAGAAAACGTTGAGCATCATTGATGTCAAAATTGCTTGAATGAAATTTGGCGAACCAATTTTGAGAAGTGCGTTTGGTTAAGGCATCATCCCCATAAACGCTGCAAATTTGTCTGAGCTTACCTTTTTTAAAAATTAAAATAATAATGAATGATATTTTCTTCCATATCTACAGGGCAATAGCAAACACAATACTAAGCTAGTTTCAACAAGAATTAACAGATTTAGTTGTAGACATATTACAAACAGTGGATAAACAATCCACCTTAGTGATTAATGCATCAGATTAGTAGTGTACCAAAGTGACATAAAACTAAACAGAAAAACCGAAACGATTTATTTGCCAACCCGATATTTGGACAGAAGAAGGTTTTTTCAAAGATAGATTTCATAAAAAATTAAATTAAAATAATACGCTACTATTACCCTTGTATGACCTGGCATTATTTCTACAACCGTCAGTCGATTTGTTGATTGCAAAAAGATTTTTAAAAAAATCACCCAAGATAAAGTAGGTAGGTGAAAGGATGAACTAGCTTCCCCCCCCCCCGTCTTTATTAATTTTCGCAAAATCTGAATTTTTTTCGTATTTCGGCCTAGTTTTAAAATGATTGCCAAGCTCTGCACACAATTCAATTGTAACAGATACTATAGAAAAAATATTTTATAAAATGTTCTTGAACTTAAATTCATAGCAATCTTTTGCAATTTTGCAAACATAAATGAATAGTTTCGTAATAAATCATCTCACACTAATTCTTCAATCACGTATTTGACAGGTGATTACTGATGTACTGATTTATGTAATTGATGTAATTATATTGATCCATACAATTAGTCATATTTTCGTTAATTACGAAAGTGATGATAATAAATACTCACAGTGCTGATCACGTGAATGTTTTGATAATCGTGCTTATCAAAATTGTGAAACGTCTGAAAGAATAAATCTTTTGGTTGAGTCAGATAGACTGTCTACTATTCTAGTTTTAATAAATCTGGTGCTCCCAACACACAACTTTCACTTAACGCTCTACTTTGAATAGAAATTATTTTCGAGCAATTTCAGAAACTTATAAATTGTTTAAAGTTCATTCTAAATGGAGCTAAAACTTAAAGCTTACAGCTAACAAATCATTAAGATTATTAATGTATTTTACTTTACTATTTATAGTTGAAATTCTTGCTTATTATTGACCTCAGTTTGTAATATTTCGAAATGCAAAAGTATTAACATTTACTTCGTACCTTTTATTTCAAACTTACAAAGACATTGTAAGATAAACATTGCATTTTATTCATTGCGAATATAAATGGAATATACAATAAATTATGATAATTCGAAACTACATCGACGAAAACTAAATCAACATCTTATTTCTGAATTGCATAAAATATTATTGTGTTGCCATTTCCATAGATAAATATGTCTATAGATAAATAATAATAAATAAATGTATAAACATTAAAACGCTATTACAATGAAAGTTATTTGTATTATATTATTGCGAACTGTATCTGTTAACAGCTGATAATAGACAAAAACATCAATGTTCCAAGCCAGGTGCAACTCAGAATTCAAATATAATTTATATATCGCAATATATCGTCTATTAATTTGCAATTTATACAGAACATAAATCAACTTACTTGTTTTTTGAAGAGCAATTAAAATTATTTGTAATATTTCAATTTGTAAAGCAATATTTGTAAAAATAAATAGAAAAATATTTGTAATACATTCTTGTATAAACAAATCAATTTAAGGAGCTTTACTAATTATTAAATTTAAGTACATTGTTTTATACTAATTGAAAACGTTTTATTATTAATGGAATATTTTAAGAAAATAAGGAATTAAATATTGACAAACTTTAATTATAATATTAAAGTTTGCGATCTGCATTGCTACATAGCTTTGGCAAGACTAATTGTAAGTTCGAAGTATCGAAGCAGTTGAGTTACAATAAACTAAAGAAATATATATATTTCTTCAAGACAAAAGGAAAATTAATAAATATGCATACACGTTCCTGTACGTACATAAATTAATTGGTTAACTTAACAAGCAATAACTTTTATGTTACAATATTACAAATTATACCTGGTTTTTAAATTGTAGAGAAATCTTTCCATTACATTCTAAAAAGTTTAAAAATCAATATTCTTCCGTGGATGCAGTTATATATTTAATTTTTTAATTTATCAAAGAGCTGTAACAATTATTGCGAAGAGTGTCGGTTCAGAACAAAGACTAGACTGAGGGAGAAGTACAAGTGTAGGGTACAATGTTCAAAGTAGTGGAGCTATATTAAAATTTAAAAATTTGTTTATTTTTTAACATAATTGAAC